CAGTATTGTACACTAACAATCAGATAAAAGAATTAGACTCTCAGAACACTTGATGAATAGATTCTGATCAGAATATTAAGTTTGTATACAATAAATTATGTTTTCAACTTCAGTACATACATAAAATTACAAGACAATCACACATTAACATTTACGGATAACTTCACTTGGTGTTGTTTTACATGCATCTTCCCATTGTTACTTAGGGTTGTAATTGATCAGTCTCATGTTGACATATGTGCATCCTTGCGGATGCCTTGATACAGCCTTAAGTTGCAAGATTTTTAATCAAAGATGGATAGTGGCTAGAAGTGGAATCCAGGACACGCGTTTCGTCATTTTGGGGCTCGTCAGCTGGATATATTTGTATCTCATAGTTGATGTTCATTCTGGGATTCAAACCCTGTACCGTTCACTTCAAACGTCATGGCGTTATCTACTTAGCTACTGAGTCTTGATAGCCACATATGCCAATATGAGACTAATCGATTGCAGTCCTAAATAACAATGGGAAGATACAAGTAAAACAACATCAAGTGAATTTGAACTTCACCCTATTGCACAAGCAGATGTTTGTCCAAACTCACTAGTTAAGTGAAGAACGCGATCATGTTTGAAGTGAACGGTACTGTGTTCGAGTCATGGAGTCAACATCAACTCTGAAATACAAATATATCCAACTGACGAGCTCCAAAATGACGAAACACGCATCCTGGATCCCATTGTTAGCCACTATCCATCTTTGATAAGACTATACAATCTATTATATGATACAGATATGTATATTATTTTGTTAAAATGCACTTTCATGATTCTAATTTAACCATTTTTAATATATATATCACTAACTGATATCACATACTTATACCATTTATACATAAATGATCATTGTCAACTAAAGTAAACAATGAAAAGTAGTAATAATATTTAGTGATCATTTGGGGGGGGGGGGTAAATAGATAATAAATAAAATAAAAAACTTAAACATAAACTGATAAGTAGACGAATAAAATCCCAAATATTCATTCATTTATTCATTTTGTCATGTCTTATTTAAAAGTGTAAAATAGAAATATATATTAACGAGATTTCAACATATTTAATATAGTAAATGTACACACTGACTTAGTTGCTTACGCCTGTTACCCATCGTGAAGGTGTATAGATCACCCACCAATATTCTCTATCCAACCCTATCCTGAACAATCTTTTCCAGTTGTAATGAAAAACAATAACACATGCATTACAAGAAAAAAAACAACAACAACAGATGAATCTAAACTCCTTTTATTATTCCTGTTTTTTCTTCTTCTTCTTCTTCTTCATTTAAACTGTTTCTTCAATTTATTTTCAGTATGTTTATTGTTAGTTCATGTTTGTTTGTTTATTTCTATATTTCTCTTGTTAAAATAATCATATTAAGGAAAGTTGTAAAATGATTATTTCAAATATAACTTATCTATTTACCATGATGATGATGATAATCAGACCACCAACTGAGATTATTTAATACGGTACCCAATCCTGTTTTGCATTATTATTATTATTATTACTGTTAACATTGTATTCTATTACATTTAATTTTTAATTTTATACATACATATATACATACATACATACATACATACATACATACATACACACACACACATTTTCTTTCTCATTCACGGTTACTGTTTACTTTTCTCAGTATTAGTTTCATTACTAATAGTATCATTATTATTACTATTATTACTATTATTATATAAATATTAATATAACACTGATATGATTATCACCAATTGAGTGTTGTATATGATTGATCACAAAAACAATTGTTCAGTTGTACATTAAAAATATGTAAAGAAGTTTAATGTACCCAAGTAATTTTGTGTCAATGTATTAGCCATGTATCTGAGTGTATAAATATTTATACACTTGGTAACAAGATACAGTTCAGTTACATCGATGTATCTATTACACATAAATAAATGTCTACATCCGTGTATTTACGTAAGTGACATCCAGTATATTGTGCATTAAAAAGAAGAAAAAAAACAAGGATGGAAGAAGAAGAAGAAGAAGAAGAAGAAGAAAAAAATAGTCACATAAATAAAAATACATATTTGTACATTTGAATTGAATATAATAAATTTCATATATTTAATTAATAAACATGTAAAATAAAAAAAACTTTTCTTTATTGTTTTTCTCTTCTTTTTTTCTTTTTTTCTAGAAAAAAATGATAATTTTATACTTGATTGAACATTTGTCATTTCATTCATTTTCATTTGTTTTTCTCGGCTTTTTTTCTCTGCTTTTCTTCTTTTTTTCTTTCTTTCTTTATTCGGTATTTTCATTTTTCATTAGGTTTTCACTTTATTTATTTATTTTATTGACTAACAAAATAATCCAGTTAATCATCATAGAAATTATGATTTATTGAACTGTTTAACTCTTAACTTTATCGCTTTGATACATTGATCATGGAAACATTTTGAAATGTTACTTATTTTTTCTTTATTTTTTTTGCGTGGAAAAAAAGGGATAGGGGGGGGGAAGAAGATTGTTAAATATTGAAGACTTGGAAGATATATATATGTAGATTGTCTTCATAGCTGTCACCATTTCACATTTACAAATCGTTTTAACAATTTGAAGGGAAAAGAAACTAAACTTACTAGTTAAGTAACTAGATATAGTTTATTGGAAATGATTTATTAGATGAATAAATGTTCATTTGTAAACTCTTCAATAATGTCTAATAAATATCATTTTGAAAAATCAATTTTACATATAAAATAGATCAAGTTATATATTTCATTTTTATGGTGTAATGATGGATAATAGCTGACATTGGGATCCAGGATACGTGTTTCACCACATTTGGGACACGTCAGCTGGATGTACCTGCATTGCAGAATTGATGTTTATCCCGAGACTCGAAATCAGTACAGTTCGCTTTAAATGCCATCATGTTATCCACTTAGCTACTGAGTTCTAATAGCCACTTGCTTGTGCAATAGGGTGAAGTTTAAATTCACTTGAAATTCCTTCCTGAATTCCACTGCTAACCACCATCCATCTGTGCTTATAATGCTTGTGAATTAAGGCAATATGCACAGGATGCACATATGTTAGTAAGAGACTGATCAATTGTAGTCCTAAACACCAATGGGAAGATTCAAGTTAACAATATCAAGTGAATTTAATCAATAAAAAAGTTTGCTCCATATGGTACAATCTGAAAAACACATCATGAACCAAATAAAATTATTTCATAAACATAAAATTAGGATTTTCAACCTTACTACCACTTTCTGAAAAAAAAGTACTAAAAATATTTCAATGATTTCATGGCTCAAAGGGAGGCCTAAAAACGCTGAGAAACATTTTATCCAATCAGCATTGAATAGAAGTTTCTCATAAATATCTAAAAAATAGCGGGTCACGTGTCAAATTTTTGAGTGGATGATTACCTATTCCGCTATTATGTTCACTATGGTTCCAGAACCTTCCAGAAGTCAAAGGCTATCTGAAATGCTATGAATATCTTCAATTTTCTATACATAAACTAGACTTGGAGTAAAGTGTTGTTTCCATATTCCGCACACTTTCTCACGTGTTCAAGTTTTCATGTAGAGTTAGACTAGGGTTATTAGAAAAGCTTAGGAAATAGATTCAAGCGTTCGGTAAGAAAATTTATCAATTTTTATAATAAATTGACTTATAAATGTATGGTACTTTAAAACAAAAAATTAATTTACGATGGTTTTTCTGACTTTTTGAAAACACCTAGGAAAATTACTAGTATGGGGGTTGTGGAGATTATTACGTTTTTGATTGAGATCATGAACCGATTGATGTTAGACCACCACCTTTGGAAACCTGGATGCCGGCTCAGTGGTCCAGTTGGTTAAGCGTTCGTGCGCGAGACCGAAGGCCCTGGGTTCGAATACCGTGAGCGGGATCGTGGATGCGCACTGCTGAGGAGTCCCACAATAGGACGAAACGGCCACCCAGTGCTTCCAGGTTTTCAATTGTGGTGGTCTAACATCAATCGGTTCATGATCTCAATCTAGGAAAATATTGAAAATCGTCAATGAATTGACAACAGTTCTATTGTAGTTTCAAAATCTTCAATAGTTGTAATATGCTTAGTAGTTTTTAGCTATTCCATAATTGTGAACTATGAAACCAAAACAAAAGAACTATTCTTAATTATCTAAGTCTCTGGATCGTCCCAGTAGGTCGTTGAAAATGATTGCAAATCAACTCAATACCAAGAATTTTACACTTCTAGACAATCAGTTGTGTTAGTGTAAATGAGTTGGATCTTAGAATTTCATTTATGTATTGACAATAACTCAAAAGTCATTCTAAAAATACTAATATTTTAGATGGTGGAGAAGATTAATAGCCCAGTTCGATAATTTTGATGAAGTTTTGTTCTCTGAGCTAGATAGTTTGGTCGTAGAGCTCAGAGAACAAAACTTCATCAAAGTATTAATAATTACTGGGCTTTACCTACCTATTATATTTGTATGTCATATTACTTATTCGACGTTATTAAACATCCTATTGATATATGTGAACTTTCATTATTATGACTCAATGATATCAATCCAAAATGTAATACATTTCTTATTTTTTTTAATATACTATCCTAACTTTAAACAAACTTTCTAGATAACCATTAGATGTAGTGACGATCAATATGGTTCTTTTTCATTATAACGGTGAAAAACTTTCAGTCTAGTTGTGTGACTTTATTTTGTTCTAATGCTTATTTTCAGATGTCTATCAGTTTTCTTTTTTGATTTCTTGGAAATATGTTCAATGCCTTATGTTTATTTCAATAGTTGAGATCATAAGTCAATTGAATCCACACCAACATGGAAAACCTAGGAGAACTGGATGGCCGTTTCGAATCTTCGCTTCCGCGATACTGCCTCGCGAGATTCCAACCCAGGACATATAGGTCTCGCACACGAGCGCCTAAACTCTACACCACTGAGCTGGCCGGCATCCAACGATGTTAATGTCTAGCTTCAACTAAACCACGAAATAGAGCGACTTATTCATTATTGTCTTCAGTGAGTTACTATTATCTAACAATAGACCCGGTTGAACTCTACTGGTCATTGCTTCTCACTAGAACTCCAGAAAATACCCCTTGAAGCCAGTCACTAGTGAGCATATACTGATTAGTATCAGAAGGTGTTTTTGTGGATGTTATAGTTATTTCAATAGTTGAGATCACAATTCAGTTGCATTTTCTAAGCGTAAATGTCATGGCTGAAGATTGTTTGTTTATCATTCCAATTAGATTTACACTGATAAAACTCTGTTTATTTTCTTGTTAGGTATTTTTTTAATTAAATCAAAATGAATGTTAATTAGTAGTATATAATCACTTTCTAAGTTTTTCACATTTGACTTCACTTAAGATAAACAAAAATTAGCCAAACGTATTTAATATAAAGCGTTCAATTAAATAAGCTCCTATTTACTGATAAATGATCATGTTAACTTTCAGGTTTGTTTTCCAGTTTATCTTTACATTACTTTACAAAAATTTTTAGTTCCACTGAAATTTTAAACGATTAGAAGATGGCTAATGAGCTCAGCGGTCTAATGGTTTATCGCTCGCGTGCGAGAATGATAGGTCCCAGGTTCGAGTCTCACGGGGCGGAATCGTGGATGTGCACTGCCGAAGAGTCCCACAATATGACGAAACGGCCATTCAGTGCTTCCAGGTTTTCCATGGTAGTGGTCTACCTTCAATTGATTCATGATTTCAACTATTGAAATTACTACAATCTCCACAAAACCCCTTCTGATACTATTTATAAGCTACTTCATAAATCAATGTCAATGCAATTAAAGCAGAATACAAATAATTTACTAAAGTCACATCAACATTGAGATGGTGGAGAAAATTTGAAGTTAAGGTGGATGATTTCGGTGAAGCCAGATGGTTTGGTCATTGGGCTTTCATTGTTCTTCTGAACGACATCATCAGCACAAATTTTAGATAGCAGTGAAGTGTTTGAATTTCTCCACATATGGTTTACTGCCTGTTCTGTTGCCGGTAAGTTGAATGTGTCTAGCAGGATGTCAAGAGTAATATTTGATTCTGTTGATGGGCGGTCTGGGGCTAACCGTTTGCGTAACTGATTCCGATGGCGTTGCCACCTGTCACTACCTACCTCAACTTCGTACATGACTCGGCCAACTCTTCTGACCACTCGCGCTTCTGTCCATGGACTATGGGTCGGTCTGTAATCACGGGCAAACACCGGACATCCCACTTCGTACGTGGATTGCTTTTCAAACTTTGTCCGTACTGGTGTAGTTGCATTACTTGGATGCATCAGGCTGTGGATCGTCTTCAGTCTTCTTCCCATTAGGATCTCTGCTGGGGACTTTCGCTCCGGCAACGTTTCATTTGGTGTTGTTCGATACACGTATAAGAAATTTTGCAACGCGTCTGCTGGCGTCCCCTCCCCTTTTGTTTTAGCCAAGGCTCTTTTAAACGTATCCACAAACCTTTCTGCTTGCCCATCCGACTGCGGGTGGTATGGTGGCGAGCGTAAGTGCTTTATGGCTAGTCGTTGACAGAATGACTGGAATTGGCTGGAGGTGAACTGTGAACCGTTGTCAGATACAATGGCATCTGGTATACCATTTCGGGAGAAAATTTCTGTGAGGATCTGTATTGTTTTAGTTGTCGTTGGCGGTATGATAGGGTTGATTTCAGGCCATTTCGAAAGGGCGTCGACTACAACTAGATACATGGTTCCGTTAATCGGGCCTGCAAAGTCGACGTGTATTCTGGACCAAGGATGATCAGGTTGTGGCCATGAAACTGGTGGAACTTTGGCGTTCATTTTTGCCGCTTGCTGACACCGCATACATTTCCCAACCAATTCTGTTATATGTTGATCCATTAGCGGCCAATACGCATGACTCCTGGCTATGGATTTCATTCGTCTAACCCCCGGATGACCAAGGTGGAACTGTTTCAGCACTTTTGCACGAAGGGATTCTGGCACAACCACTCTCTCTCCGAACATCAAGCAGTCGTTCACAATGCATAGAGAATCCCGCCGCTGATACAGCTGTTTTATATCACCATCAAACTTCTTAGACGGCCAACCGTTGGTGAAATAGCTCATAGTTCTCTTGATGATGGGGTCGCTCTTAGAAGCATTTTGTATGTCCGTTGCAGATACCGGCAAAGTTCGTATTGCGGTCGTCAGATAACATTCGGCGTGGTCTTCCGCTAGCAGAGATGCAATTACCGTGTTTTCCTCAGCCGCCAACTGGTCACTAATGAGTCGTGATAAGGCATCCGCCTGACCGAATTGTTGAGTGCGTCGGTACTGGATCTCGAAATCATACCCCAAGAGTGCTAAAGCCCATCTCTGAAGGCGATTTGCTGAATGAGCTGGAATGCCAGATTTCGACCCGAATATTGCGAGTAAAGGCTTGTGATCTGTGAGAAGCGTGAATCTCCGACCGTACAGGAACTTGTGGAAACGGCGCACAGCAAACACAAGTGCAAGCGCTTCTTTTTCTATCTGGCTGTATTTTTTTTCTGCTGGGGTTAGTGTACGGGCTGCATGCATAATGGCTTTTTCCGACGCATCCGGAAACTGATGGGAGATAACAGCGCCTAGGCCATTCGCTGAAGCGTCTGCAGCTACGATGATCGGCATGGCTGGATCGTAGTGTGTCAACAGCAATTCAGAACTAATAATGGACTTCAGTTTACAAAAGGCAGTGTCACACTGTTTCGTCCAGTTCCAAGAGCTGTTCTTCTGCAGTAAGCTATTGAGTGGAGCGCGAATATCATGCATCGATGGAACGAACGCTGAGTAATAGCTGACAAGTCCCAGGAAGGAACGTAGTGCCGAGACATTAGTGGGAGTGGGCATCAGTTTGATAGCTCGGATATTCTCAGGATCCGGCCTGCGGCCGTCGGCATCGAAAATGAACCCCAAGTACTTTACCGACTGCAAATGAAACTGGCATTTCTCTGGGCGTAACCGGAACCCGTTGTCACTGATGCGTTGCAGTACCAATGTCGTGCGTTCTCGTAGTTGTTCTAATGTCATTGCTACAATTAAAATGTCATCCAAATAAGCCGCGACTCCCGAGATACCTGATAGGATGGTATCCATTAATTGTTGGAAAATAGATGGTGCAGTTTTGACTCCGAAAGGTAGACGGTTATACTGGAACAAACCACGATGAGTATTGATAGTTAACAGCTCTCTTGATGCTTCGTCTACTTCCACTTGCAAATAAGCATCAGCTAGATCCAGCTTAGCGAAAAATCTTCCCCCATTCAGCATGGTAAATAGGTCTGCGGGAACAGGCAAGGGATAATGATGTTGTTCCAGAGCTGCATTGAGACCTGTTGAAAAGTCAGCACATATACGTATCGTGCCGTTGGCCTTCTTAATAACCACGATAGGTGCTGCCCATGCAGAGTAGGAAACGGGAGTGATAACTCCTTGTTGTTGAAGGCGGTTCAATTCTTCATCTACTGTTTGTAATGTTGCATAAGGGACAGGTCTCTTTGGGCGAAAAACAGGCTTAGCCCCAGTTTTCAATCGAAGTGTTGCTTTCATGACAGAGCAGCGACCCAATCCAGGTTGGAAAATAGTTGAAAACTGCGTCATTAGGGTGCTCGTATATGATTCGAAGTCATGTGGTTGTTGTCGCAGTTGTGGTTGTGATACCGGGTTGCATATGGTATTCAACGGGACATCAGCTAATTTTAAGTGATCAAACCAATCTAACCCGAGCAAATTTAGATCAGCTGGGGTTATGTAGCATACCCCAACAAATGCCAAATCACGGAAGGTAACTGTACATTCCATTTTTCCTAGCAGGTGAAGGTAATTACCACAGGCAGTACGAGGCTTTTGCGTTGTATGCTGCAAGTTTGGGCTGCCTATTTTGATCCAAGTCTTACGAGAGAGGATAGTGACATCTGATGCTGTATCTATTTGCAATTTAGATGAATGCCCATTAATGTTAACAGTAATAAATTTTCTCTGACTTGGTGATGAGCTTTGACACGAAGATACTAGGCTCAATGAACTGGTGCGGGATCTAGGACAGGTCTTGTTGGTATTTCTTGATTGACTTGGAGTCTTCTTCCACAGACAAAACCCATCCTTATGACCGATAACCTTACACTTCTTGCATCGATGTTGTTTAAATGGGCAGTTTCGAACGTAGTGCCATGCACCACATTGCCAGCAAGGAGCAGGAGGAGTTGCTTTAGTCTGTCGTCTAGAGCTGGAGTGAGATGGACTGGATGAAGCGGGGACGTGTTTGTTTTTGTGAGGTGTCTGTTGCACCGCTCGTACTTCAAATCGGCTAGAACCACCACTCTGGACCATAGAAGTGTCTCGTTGAAGATTAATGAGACGTTGATATTCATTAGCTATATCACTCAGGGTGAGTTTCGGTTCTTGATCCAAACGACTTAGTAGCCTTGTTCGTAAGTCACTGAACTTTTGGTGCTGTAGGCTGCAAATAAGGATCAGGGCTTTAAACTGATCTTCAGTCAAGGACTTTAACCGGAAGCGTTCGCATTCACGGTTGACGACGCCCACATGCGTAAGAAAATCATCATCTTCGTTCATAGTTAGCTTCAAGCAACGATAACGAGTATTAAACAGTGACGAGTTATCGCCAAAATGTTGGATTAATGTTTGAACTGTGTCTGCAAATGATCGGTCACGTGGGTTCAACGGCAAGATCAGATTGCAATACTTGTCCAGCTCATTTGCACCCAGTTTACGAAGTAGCAGCCGCACTTTCCAAGCATCATCTTGATTGGCGAAATCAAATTTAAATAGATCTTCATAACGCCTGAACCACATTTCAAAAGTAACATTAGAATCAGGATCGTAATGAAATTCAGCTATGCTATTTGCGATGCCATCTACTGATGGTGCCGTGGTTGAACTAGACGTGCTTGGCTGTAAGGGAGGCGTAACCTTGGTCTCCATTAACATTTGCATCAATTTTAGCTGCTGCTCAAGTAACAGTTCAAGTTTGGCAGGGTCCATAATCGAAAAACCACCGTCGCCAATTTGTTATGTTTCGTTATTGCTTGAATGCGATTACTGATGCGTCTTACTCGAACGGAACGAAGGATCAATGATTCAGCGACTCGATAGACTATTCTGGTCCGTTGTCTTCGACTCAGCTAACTCGATCAAGAAGTCTTGGTAAGGCGTAGAAAGTATATTCTACAAGCAACAGCAGATAACAAGTCAGGCAGGCAGATCCGATCAAGCATACAAGTCAAGCGTATTTATACAATTATTTACAATCGATAGAAAATTTTTAAACATTAATCAATGAGTTCATTAATTGACCTATTTGCGCATTTAATCGATAGTTCATCAATTGACCCCAATAAAAATATCTAACATTTGATCGATAAGATAAAATTTAAAATATGAGTTTGGGGATCTATCGTCCCCAACAGATGGTGGAGAAAATTTGAAGTTAAGGTGGATGATTTCGGTGAAGCCAGATGGTTTGGTCATTGGGCTTTCATTGTTCTTCTGAACGACATCATCAGCACAAATTTTAGATAGCAGTGAAGTGTTTGAATTTCTCCACATATGGTTTACTGCCTGTTCTGTAAACCTGATTGTTGATTGGTTCTTGTTGACCTTAAATCTGTCATTGTTCAGAAGTCAGGTAGAAGACTTCCACTCGACGTTTGTTCAGATAATGTTGTTCACAAGAGCAATAAAAGTTCTACGACTAAACTATCCAGTTCAGAGATCAAAACTCCATCAAAATTCATCAACATTCTATCATTTGCGTGTAGATACTTACATAAAAATATGAATATTTTATACATCTAAGTCAGTGATTAGCAGAAATACAATGACTTACTGATGAATGCTTAATATAAGGTTTTATTTTCGCTGCTACAGCTAAATACTATGTCTGCCAGTTATAATATTTAATTCAGTTAAGTTTCATTTAGTAAATATAGTTTTCTCATTATATATAATCTGATGATTAAGTGAATTGCTTTTTTAGTAACCGGATTTCCACAGACTTGATCATTGAACTCATTTCTAAAATTGAAATGCTTCAAGTTGTTGACATTTTATACTTTGATTTTTAAACTTCAGCATTTTAGATTTTTTTTTTAGACACAATAATTGTCATTATACAGATCATCCATAATCTATCCATAAAAGTATATATCAGTAAATAATGAACGGGTGAGCCCTGATATCAAGCTCATTCAATTAATTTGACTTAAGCTGCTAAATAGTATCATTTGCCTTTACTAATCTTTCTAACCACAAAATGTAAATGTTCAAGTCTTGACCGATTTGGGGTCGCGTGTACTTACCTACGCCACCAGCACTCTCTACCCAACCTTGTTGTCATGACCTTGACGTCTGGTTTTTCTATCACACGATTTAACTACCAATCTGAATACGACTTATACGAATCTTCACACTAGGCCAACCAATGACGTTCAACCGGTGTGGGCAGTTTAGCGTCCTTATTGGTCCTATGTCCTTCTAGCCCCTCCACTTGAGTCCAGAACACAATACCAGCTTCTGTAATATGAAGCGAATCAGAGCAGATCGTTTATTTCAGACATACCCGGTTTATATATCAATCAGACAGATCACGACGTACCATAAAATAGAAAATAACATGTGTACACAAATAAGCCAAAAAGTGGCTGTGAACGAGGGGGACAGTGAATAATAGACTGAGCATAGCTAAAGAACCGTAAATCGTACAATAATAAATTATAGGTCAAAATAAAGCTTGAAATAAGAGGAATATAAATATACATAATCTAATTATTCAATATTTTACAATAAGAATATTTATAGAATATTAGTCCATTAGTAGTCCTCGGGAGTTACCTGTAATTTAATCTTCACTGGGTTATAACACTTGTCCTAGGCAATACTTTCCAGTTGTTATTCATTTTTTTCATATCTGCTTCTGTTTACCAACGTAATGTGTTCTTTGACCTTCCTCTTTAACGCTTCCTTTCAAGATTCCAAGTTAGAATTGCGTGTACACATTGTTCTAGATCCTTAAATTAGGACGAAACTGTTATCCAGGTCTTGATGGATTGAAATGATTTTTCAGTTTAGAAAATCAATTCAAACCAATAACTACATCTTTTTTACATAATTCAGTATGAGTTATTTGTTATTTTCTTAAACTAAGCTCGTTGACAGTAACCAACTAATAAACAGTATTCATAAAGTCAAGGAAACTGACCTTCTACTAAAACGTCTGAAATATCATCCGGAAAGTAACATATAGATATTTCAGAAGGGGATTTTTTTGTGGATATCATAATAATTTCAATAGTTGAGTTCATGAGTCAATTGGAGCTAGACCACTACCATGGAAAACCTGGAAGCACTGGACGGCCGTTTCGTCCGATTGTAGGACTCCTCAGTAGTGCACATCCACGATTCCGCCTCGTAAGACTCGAACCCAGGAGCTATCAGCCTCGCGCACGAACGCTTAACCTCTAGACCACTGAGCCAGCATATATTTAACTGTATTATTATTCATAAAAATAATAAACAGTACAATCAGTATTCTGAATTAATTCGTATCTACAAATATGTTCTTAATCATTATTCATAAGTCAAATTACTAAGATAATTTATAAATTACTTAAGTATATTTATGATCAACAGAAATCAATGAAAACCCCACAATTAAGAATCGATATTTTAATAAACTCTGATAAACACCTTTCAAAACTCTACAAAAACTTCTCAAATAAATCAATAACCAATCTAATCACTTTGTCACTATGTCTAATCTGATTGGTCAGAATGACTTAATATTACTTATTTTGTAATCATTTCTATGTTTTAAATACTGTAAAGTGTATTTCAACCATATAAGTATTCTTTTATCTCTGTATCTACATCATTGTTAATCTATATCTTTAACCATATTGTTACCTAATAGATTCTTTCTAGTTTCATAATTCATAGAATAACATCTAGTGGACGACTAAAATATCGGTGTAAGTATTGTTTGGTGCTCGAATGTAGCACATAAACTAAATCATTATAAGTTTTAGATTAAAAAGCACTTTCTTCACATTTCGCATAACGGTAATGAACTATAAATTGTAAGATTTTGTAATTTAGTGAGCCTGGTTCTTAGAAATATATGTTTGTTAATAAATGATTGTTGACTCATGACAAGATACCGTTGATTTGTTGTGTAAATAGTAACAAAATTTATATGGAATCTTGACGACATTCATGTTTCTTCTTAGATAAGCCCTTTTAGATTAAGGACATTTCATTATGTGAACTTCAAATAAACTATGGCAGTTATACGTCAAGGTTGAATGTCTTCAGAATTACAAATCAATATTTTGTTCTATTAATCCAACTCACTCTAAACAATTCTTGGTAATGATACATAAGACGCTGTTCTTTCATAAAATCCATACAAACCTTTTTAGTAAGAAAGAGCAAAAAGGAAGCATAAGGAAGACCTGACTTTGAGCAAAACATCCCTGTATATATTTAGAGGTGAGACACTCAATGAAATTGGCATAGTAAAGTTGCACAGAGTAATCCAAAGAACCTTTTAATGAAAGTAAACTACAATTAATGTTTTCCACACGGCCGGTGGTCACTCTAAGATTGAAAAATAAATTACCTAAACTAGTCACCTCTTTCTGTATTTATCAGTTCAACTAATCTTGTAGAGTAAGCTATATTGGGAAGTGTTCTAGGGATTCGTATTTTCGTGCTTGCGATCACTCCTCTAGTGTAGTTAAAACTGTTGACACCTTAATTTTAACTCATTTGGTACTAACGCACCGTAAAGCCAACATGGAGCAATTATTTACAATAATATATAGTGTTAAAAGCTATCTGCCAAAATCCGTCAGACGGCTGAAGTAATAGCTATTCAGATCAAGAAGCTGAAGCTTTGCATTCAGAGGAAATTTTTTCAACCATTCCTTTTACCTAAACCAAATTCTGGCCTAGTTAATTAGACGAAACGACCATACAATACTTCCAACTATTCAATGGCGGTCAAACTTAATTAGACTGGTGACTTCAACTATGAAGATGTTGCAATCTCCACAAACCCCACATTTATCAATCATTTTGATGATGTTGTAACGTTTCATCCGAGTATGGAACTTCTCAACAGTGCACACCCACAATCCTGCTCGCCGGATTCGAACCCAGGACATTCGGTCTCGCGCGCGAACGCTTAACCTCTAAACCACTGAGCTGGTCGGCATCCAACGGTGTTGATGTCTAACTTTAACCAATCTACGATTTGATTTGATATGACAAACAATCATTGATTCACATGTTATACTTTTGAATGATGTACTCTGCCTTGAACTTGACTATTTCTATGAATTACTAATTTGGATATATAATTGTAGAACGTGATGAGAAATTATTGAAAAGAATATTATTCGTTCATATAGTTGTGTTTTAATATGGTGATAATTTTCCTGTCTTACAAAGCTAATTCTTGATGATAATAATAATAATAATAAGTTAGACATTAACACCGTTGAATGCCGGCAAGCTCAGAGGTCTAGTGGTTGAGCGCTCGCGTACGGGACTGATAGGTCCCAGGTTCGAGTCTCGCGGGGCGGGATCGTGGATGTGCACTGCCGAAGTGTCCCACTATATGACGAAACGGCCATTCAGTGCTTCCAGGGTTTCCATGGTAGTGGTCTAGCTTCAATTGGCTTGTAATCTCAACCATTGGAATAATAATAACAATCGGCATTTTTATCGTTTCATAAATTGTGTTCTACCTGATTTATAATCAATCAGATATTCTTATTATTTTTTTCCATATTTTAATTTAGCACAAATCCTCTCGATTATATTCACCAATGTTTTTGTCAAGTTCAGAATATACTTCAAATGATTTACTGAATTCAAATCGTAAATCATCCACTTTATCATCGTCAACTTCACCAACGACAATGCCAACATCTTCATCATCATCTTCTATACGTTATCGTGGTAATAAATTTGGACGTCTTAAAACAAAATGTTTAAACCTCAACAGATATCAACAAAACTATTCATTATCTAATAATCGTTTACATTTGTGTAATAAACCAAATCATTTCAATTCAATAATGACAACATCTGCATTGAAAGCTATTCGTAGATCAACAATTAACCTTCCAAATACTCATTGGCCAAATTTGTCTTTAGGATCACAAATTACAACAACAACACCACCATCATCATCATCGCCAGCATTTACATCAATAATAGATCAAAAATTAAAGTCAAATTTCTTAACTGATCTACAATTTCCTGAAACCAATATAAACAATACTAATGGATTATTGTCTTCTTCTGCATCAAACTTACGTGGTAATCATCATCAGCATAATAATAATAATCCTAACAATACGAATAATAATTTAATTGATCGTCCAGTAGTTGTATTAAATCCTGATGAACCACGTGAAATATTTATTGGTGGTGTACAATCTGTTGCATTACCATTATGGGCATATTGTAAATGTTTAACAATGGTACGTGGTGAACCACATGAATTAGGACCACGTCTATGTTTACGTCTATTACAAAGTTTATTTAGTTTACATTATTTAGTTACACATAATTATAATGGTTCCGGTGGTAAAGCACCTATTGATCCAATTGTAATGAGTGCTGTATTACGTCAAGCACAATTACAATTTGGTTCAGGTTATTTTTTTACTGAACCAATGGCTTTAGGTAAATTAAGAGATTATTTAAATAATGCTTTTCGTGTAATGGCATTTAGACAACGTAAAGGTGAACGTGTAAGATCACCATTTTGGAATGAAAAAGGTGAACCAATACATGATTTAGAAGCACCGGTGGAATTTTCAAATATTACTGATATTATTGTTATACCACATTCAATTAATACTACTACTACACCTAATACTAACACTACTACTGTTATTACAGCTACACCAACCTTATCAACAACTACAACAATGTCAAATGAATCTGATAGGAATATGAATTCAAGATGAACAATGATTAAAGAAAATACATGCGGATTAATCTTTTTTTAAAAAAAGTATCTTTACTTTGATCCATTTCATCCTTTCATAAAATGATTCTTTCAAACTATGAGTAGTATGTATATTTGTTTACTTCAATGAAACCATTCAATAATATACACTTATACAATGTTAATTATATTGTTTCATAAATAATTTAAAATAACCAACCACGGGGGGGGAGGGGTAGGATTAAACAAATTCACTTGAAATGTACTCTTTATTGTTACTAATGAAATAATGTTCAACGATTGTAATTAATTAATTCATTCATTCATTCACAATTCAATAATGATATTCATTGAATAAAATAAAGAAAGAGAATGAAGGGATATTCAAAAGATCATTATGATGAATGAGAGAAAGAGAGAGATTCTATCACTTGTATTTAGGCTACAAATACATGGGGTATTATGTATACATATAATAATAATTATAATAATAATATTGATTTAATCATACTACCATAGTTACTTAGTTTCATATTATTTTGTTTTGATTTTTAAGTATAATATAAAACGGAAACGATTAAGTTTATACAACTAATTTAGTCTTGCGTTCATGTTGACTTGTAACACTCACACACACACACACACACACACACTCTCTCTATTATGTTGATTTATTTCTCTCCTATATTGGTTTAACCAAATTAAAGACAAACATTTCATGATTATATTATATGTATACTGTATTGAACTGTATTGTGTTGTACCTATACCTGTATTGGTGAAAACAGTATTTTACAATTACAAATACAAACTAAATAATTAATTACTGTGATTTCTATCAGTGATAAGAGTGTATAAGATTAATGTTGTCTACAATAGTGAACATACTGAATGAAAGTATTTGATTCATTCCCAGAAGGAGTGGTTATTGAATGTCATATAATATCTTTTCATATGAGAAACATATGTATATATATATATATACCAGAGTTTAATAATATTAGATGGTTAATAGACTATTGTAACAACATGACAGATACTTCAAAAATAATATTGAAAAGCGGTTGCATAAAAGAGAAGATAAGAATATCTATTTATTATTCCTTAATACTAACGTCATTATCATCATCATCACCACCACCACCACCAACAACAACAACATCATCATCATCATTCTAATTATAAGCATTCCATATAGATATATACTTATCATCATTAACATAGTAAATTATCGGAGAGAAGAAAGATATAAGTAGATAAATTGATCATTCGGAAAAGCGATTATCAAATACCTCATATTATCATAAAATAGGTAAATCATGTGAAGATATAATAATTGATGAAGAAAAGATGGTTGGTGTAGATGGTGGAGGGATAAGGAAATAAGGCGGATATCATTAGACAAAAAGAAACGTTCCCAGAAAAACAAAAGGTATATGTAACTAGTGATTAATAATTATAAATCATAAATTAATTATATATTCATCAGAAGGGGTTTGTGGAGATTTTAGAAATTTCACAGATTGAAATCATGAGTCAATTGAAGCTAGACCACCATGGAAAACCTGGAAGCACAGGATGGCCGTTTCGTCCTAGTATGGGACTCCTTAACAGTGCGCACCTACGATCCCGCAGCTCGCGATATTCGAACCCAGGACCTATGAGTTCAAACGGTTGTCTACTAAAAATTTATAATGTAGATAGGTGATTTCATTCGAAGTTTGTTTTTATTATTACCTGAAGTTAGTTAGAGAATTGAATGTTATTCAGATCACAATCCAATCTAAACTAGACACCTATTGAAAACTAAGAAGCATTGGACAGCTGTTTCTTTGTGATAGGCAACTCTTCATAAGTGAGTATCCATGAATTCGCATCGAACTCAAAACTTCCACATCTTATAGTGACACTTTAACCTTCAGAATATTGAGTTGACATTCATTGATTTTCATGTCTGATTACAATCAATTCGCAACAGAGTGCAAACATCTATTACCTTCGGCAGATGCAATTCTGAGAAGTACCAAACAGTTTCTCGGTGTTTCCTAGTTTTCAGTGATTGTCTAATAGGTTTTTTAATGATCTTAATAGCTGGAGAATTACTGAAAGCTTAAAACACATTGATCTAGTCTGGATTTGATCATACACAAAATCAGCTATTAAACATTTTTTCTTTTCATTAATTTTTTAAGCAATGTCAGTTAATGATAAATATTTTATTCGAAAGATGAATAAACTATGAAGAATACCGTTATTACAATGTGGATTTAAATGGATCACTGGGTGGTGATCATTGTCATGCTTGTCTAGTCCTTATTAGTGCAGATCGAATGCTATGTGGCCACCAGTCTAGGTGACTCGACACTGCGGGCACTATATATTGAGATTTAGATGGTGGTTGGAGGTAGTCAACAAGAAACCCTGGACCCGGTTTTCGTGCTACTTGGCACTCGTCAGCAAGGTGTACATGTAATCTTGAGGGAACTGGTTCTCTCTGACGGATTCGATATCGTGTCACCCAGCTTCACAGTCAGAGACGTCTGTTTCATCCTGATATGACATAAATTAGAAGTGGTTAATACCAATTGAATAACAGTACACTAAACAATGATATCCAACGCCAATGTATATACAATACAATAATCAAAATTTAACTTAGATTTTTTCGAGTTTAACTCTGAAACCAGAAGGGATTTAACACCACTAGAAACTTCAAAATATAGATTAAAACAGTTTCAATTTTTTTATTACTAATAATCCCCACTTAAAATTGAAGAACATCTGCAACTCAAAACAACTGTCTGTCAGACAACACCAAGGTCAGGATTTTCAATACAAATGTCAACACAGTTCTACTGTATGGGGCGGAAACTCGGAGAACTACGAAAGCAATCATCTAGAAGATACAAGTGTTTATTAACAGTTTTCTACGCAAAATACTCCAGATGCGTTGGCCGGACACTATCAGTAACAACCTACTATGGGGGAGAAAAAACCAGATCGTAACGGAGGAAGAAATCAGAAAGAAATACTGGAAGTGGATAGGACACACATTGAGGAAAGCACCCAACTGCGTCACAAGTCAAGCCTTCACGTGCAATCCTCAAAGCCAAAGGAGAAGAGAAAGTCGAAAGAACACATTACGCCGGGGAATGGAGATAGACATGAGAAAAATGAACAAGAATTGGATAGAACTAGAAAGGAAGGCCTAGGACAGATTGAGTTGGACAATGGTGGTTGGTGACCTATGTTCCATTGGGAGTAACAGGCATAAGCAAGTAATAATTCCTATTCATAGTAAAACATGTTGCTGGAAATTGTCCATTCATTATAGCAAAACTTAACTGGGTTAAGTAAAATTTAAGAAAAAAACTGATACGCTTTAAAGAATTTTCACAAGTATCAAAATAAAGTACAAGAGTTTATCAGTTGAATCCAATTAGTACACGGTCATGTTACTGTTTCTAATAAGAATGAACATACTTCCATCAAGAGTACACTGTAATGTCGTGAGATACTCGGAAGACTATTACTTCTCTTTACAATTCGTTTTTCACAAATTAAGAAATTATTAATTATTATTATTATTTGAACACATAAATATTGGTACAAGAGGGCACCAAATATATTTGCACCACACTAAATTTGTGTGTGGGCTGTGATACTGCCCGGGTGCCCAAACCAAAGCAGGTGGTTTTCTTAGGGGGCCACTCCCCGAGCCTTTGACCTAAAGGTCTGATCCACAAGGCAGTGGGGCATCGTGAGGAGATGCACTCCCATGGTAGCTGATGACCAATAACTGGTTCATACGTCATTTATTTCCTCAGGATCCTGGAACCCATGTGCACCATTGGTTTGGAATCCGGTTAAAGCGCCGGACATTTGCTTTTCGTCCTCTCATTTCCGTAAACAACACCCCCGCCACGAGAAGGCAGTGAGTAGGACTTCCTTGGCAGAGGCTGTATAACAAAGGAAGAAATGATAAGGAACATTAGAACTGAAACATTTCGACAGTAATTTACATTACAAATAATGAAAATTATGGAACAAAAGATGTGTTGTTTCTTATTATTAGAATACCTAAAAAGTATTTATACAAAGCTCTATACTAGGTCCAAATAACATTCATCATGTTGCATAACCATGTCAATATCGTCAAGCCAAAATTTTAATGGTAAAATAAGTATTTACTTGAAAGAATTGCCTGAGGTTTCAAAACCATATTCAGACTTTTCAGTAATATGTCAACAAAATAGTAAAATTTCAATGATTGAGATTATGAATCATTTGAAGCTAGACCACTACCATAGAAAACGTGGAAGTACTGTACGGCTGTTTCGTCCTATTGTATGACTCCTTAGCAGTACGCATCCACGATAGTAAAGATTTATATACAATTAGCCGTTGACTGAAGTTACATATAAATATTGAATGTAAAATTGTTTTTGATAATTTGAGACTATTACATAGGTTCTCATTATTACAAATATTCAAACTTTAAGAAAAATATCACTTAATGCCTTTGTTCACTCTGAAGAAGTAGCTTACATTAAGTCACGAAACGTCAGAAATAGTTCTTTTTTTCTACTCATTAGGATATAACAAAAATTGTATTTATTGTTAGCGCTTTCTCTTTTTAACTATGAAACCTTGATATTTTATGCAATATTAGTTCCGTAGAATTTAGTGTTTACCTACAAATACCTGGTTGGAACTCTGTATGCAATACTACATTCGGTACTGTAATTGAAAATGACCACCTCGAAAAAGCATAGAAATACCAACAACTGATTTGTGACAGATCAAATAGATGAGCAGTAATAATTACACTTCAAAAAGACAGAAAAACTCTATCCTAAGGATTATTGAGTCATTTATATAATGTAGATAGATTGTGGAGGTCATAGTGATGAACATATAGTAATTCGATAGATTGAACTGTTTAAATATGAGACATAGTAGGCAAGTTTGATTTGGTGTGCTGTTTAATTCAGTATTGTGAACCATCAACCGGAAAACACAATGAATTAGAATTTATGATAGACCAAATTATAAGCCGATAATTTAAGTGCTGTCTTTTTAGAATTATCCGATGGATTAGATTAACCCATCGATTTTATAGTTTAAATCCTATTGGCTGGTGATTCTAGAGCTAATGTACTGTTGAATAATCCCTAAGGTTAACAAAATCATAAAACATAATTTCGGAATCATGTCTTTGAGTTGACTATACCGAACCTACTGTCCATTGCCATAAATAAATAATCAGCACCATATACTAATTGTTAATCGAATACTGATCAATATCATTATTTTAGTCCTTTTGCTGAACACACTCCACTCACGAAGTCTCAATATAGTCACCAGGATAAGTGACTCAGGACGTAATAGTTTTAATGTTACGTGATTAAGAATAACTCATAGTTCGGTACTGGTTAGCTACTAGCCAGTAAGGCTTGTCCGAAGTTTCTTAAGGACAAATGCTTCATGTGATATGAGGATTGGCCAGGACAGGGTTGGATGGAGAGTGCTGGTGGTTGGCCTATGCTCCTTCACGAAGAGTAACAGGTGTAAGTAAAGCAGAAGTAATGTACAAGATAAGCACTTTTTTATACATGAATGAATCTACAGTGATGTTATAATTCCATGTTTGAAAAAATGTACAATGTTATTATTTATCATTACTGTAGAAAATAAATCCAAACTAAAATTAAATACCAGACGTAACTCAAACCTTTATTACTATTTTCGGTTTACTTTTTCCACATATTCATGTGTTTAAACAAAGAACACATATACATATATACGCTTCTATTTTGAAAAATTAATTTAACCACATGTGTTTTATTCGACTGTTTTTTAAATTAATATAAGTTAAAACAATAATTTTTTGATTGAGATCATGAATCGATCGGTGTCAGACCACCATGGAAAACTTGGACGACCGTCTCATCCGAGTATGGGACTCTTCAGCAGTGATCACCCACGACCCTGTACGCGGGGTTCGGACCCAGGACTTCCGGTCTCGTGTGCGAACGCTTAAACCCCAGACCACTGAGTCAGCATCCAACGGTGTTAATGTTTAACTTCAACCAATCCACGAAATTGCGCGACCATCGATCGATTCATAATCTCAATCAAATTCAGGTAGGTGAGTTAAGACTTAAGACTGATAGCACTTCACTGGATTATTTTAGGAAGTGTGCAACTGAATAAAAAATAGAATTCAACAAAGAAAAATTTCTATCCGACGAAATCACTTACTTAAGCTGTATGTTCATATTTATAGTCATATGGAAAATATATGTCTATAGAAGGATAGGAAAGATTGCATCAAAAATTGATTCTAGACTCACATTATTAAATGAGTTTAAGTGTTTACTTTTCTCCTTGATTCTGTTTAATTAATTTTTTGTTCAATTTCTAACATATAATTTTCATTAAAATAATGAAACACCCACCATCTTGAGCTTAAAGTCGATGTTTGTCGCACATTAGAAATGTGATCATTCGTACTGACAATTACTTTACATTTTCGTGCACCTAATTCGAAATTCAATACTTTCAAGTGTGTACATTAATTTCTTTGTGACTTTGAGTACTGGTCCATTCGTGCTTAGTAAAGTAGGCATTGAAAAGTCCTGGGATTTACTAGTTATGACTTCAAATTTGATTATACTACTCCTACTTTCCACATCATAGTAAAAGGTTCACGCTATAACGGAAGGAGAGTTAATGAGGATTGTTCGGTTTGAAGTAAGTTTTTGTCACGGACTGATACTATTTAGTAATTTATTGGAAGTCGCGTAGCACTGTATATCTGTTTCTCTTCAAGCTGAGTCTCTTGGACTTCATACCGAACCAAGAATTTTCAGGTATCATGATAAATTTAAAACACTGAGTTGGAATTCAGTCGACACTATCAACTTTAGTTAATTTGGGAAACTAGTAAACAGCTTTGATCAATTTTCAGTCCTGTCAAGAATGGTACTAATGACAGTATTGGACGATAGACGTATTATCTTGATAAATCAATGTAGTTGAAAAAGTGTACCTTTAGGTTAGCATTCGTTGCAAGATTTGAAAGTTCGATCGTCGGTAAGGTGTTGGCGAATACTGTCCTGAACTAATGATTCTTCAGTTGATTTTTGTCCTTGAAGGTACTCGACCATCCACACCTAGGTAACCAGGCCTTCGTCAATTTTAGAAATCATAAGATCACAAGCAAAACGACTGTTGAAAGTTTCTTCATTAAGGATTTAGAGAATGTCAGTTAGTAACAACGTAGAACTTCGTACGTACGTACATCAGTTCAAGTTGCCATACCACATTAACACACAGATACAATTGTCGATTCAAACCCCATAGTGGTAGAGGTAGTGAAAGTATAAGCAGGAGTCGGAAAGATTAGGGTTTGAAGATGTTATTCAAGAAGTATAATACAGTAAAATAAACTTGGAAAGAGGAAAAAACGGACATGAAGAATTCAGATTAGAATTTAGAACAAAAAGAGTGGATGCACCTGCGCCATTGCAAACGATTTTGAGCCATGTCATTCAGGGTCTCTAACCATCGGTTGCTATCATCTCGCGGCCCCCAACCAGGTAGTCTACACCTACCAACATGACTCAGTCCACTTGTCAGTGACTTCATGGATTTGTCATGTTTTGTTCTGGCCGCCCCTAGCTTTCTCCCAACCTACTCCTACACCACAAAACATCGCTCGTTTGGGCAGTCGATGGTTGGGCATACGTAACACGCGTCCCAGCCATCTCAACTGGTGAATTTTCACTTCATCAATTGATTTGCTACCCTTAACTAGTGCCCGTCTCCTAACAACTGCGTTACTTACACGATGGTCCCAGGATATACAAGCAATGCTTCAAAGACACCTATGATCAAATAATAATAACCTACAAATATCCTCTACTTTTACCGGCCATGTTTCACTGCCATAAAGTAGGACGGAACGAACTGCTGTGCAGTAAACACGTTCTTTGGTTGGTAGACGGATATCTCGCCTACGCTATAAATGACGCAAGTTGGCGAAAGCTTGTCGAGAATGCATATTAAAAGAAAACTAGTTAAGTCGAACGAAGAGAACTCTAATTTAAAACTCTCACTAATATACCCTGGTAAAGCGCTGATATGTTGATGGTTAAATAAAAAAAACATGAATATGAAGTAGATACGAGACGAGTATACCCGGATTATTTCATTTTATCTACTATACAAAAAGTTTGGCAAGAACTAAACACTGAAGACAATTCCGTCACATAAGTAAAGAGACATTAAAGAACAGAAATAGAAGGGACGGTAGTTTAGTAAATAAACGAATGGATGAAAATGACATAACAGTAGACACAATTCAACTACAATTAGAACCAAAGAAGACTGCTTCCGGTTTAAGTTCAATTTTACGAAGGATGTAAAAGAACATAACACCCGCACTAGCACTGGCTTCGGTTGTGAGCCATATCTGATAGCATCTCAAGCCGCTGAGTGTCATCTCTAGGACTGCAACTTACGAGTCTTGAACAGGTCCCAGTCCTACACAACAAAATACCAAAGAGTTACGTGACAAGATAACTATCTGCTGTTTTTATCCCGTTTTAGCGTCCGGAGTTCGTATCCGATGTGGATTACTGATCTAGTCCTTCAACTAATGCAAAACGTTTTTACTTAACTCCAGACACTAGTTGTTATGCGCGAAGTCTACATTATTCAAGAATCTCTGTACACAAAGATTAAGCTTTTGAGTTATCCCAAATGGGAAATTAAAGAAATATGGTTGACAACACTACGAAATACAATGACAAAGGCCGACATAAAGGCGATATAAAGTGAACTTCCACAAACTTAATATATGAAGAACATGAATACCCGAAAGTTTTTTTAAACTAATTCACCAGATATTTGGGTATGCATCATACTCTAAGTGTGGAGGCAAATGATACTCCCCGGTTGCTGAAGCCGAAGGTCAGAGCTAGGACCAGGGACTTTGTGGCTGGAGATCGAACGCTTTAGTCACAAAGTTTATAGAGTATTAAGGAAGCTTACTTGACCAGATTAAATAATGAAGTGACCCTAATGTTTACAAAATCGAGCTCAAATTCCCACTGAACACATTTTAAAAGATTCATTAACCAATCGACCATGTGAATATACACTAGAGACGTTAGGGCTACCACTTACAACATATTTATCTAACAAACAAACGATCAAGATCCAAAATGAAAACAACAAAATGACCCAAACTTATTCACTTCGGAATTTTTCTTAATACAATAGAATATCTAGGGCAAATGACTATTTAACTATTTACTGGATACTAGAATTTGTTACGATGTAAATTTGGAAGTACTCAACTTATTTATTTTTCACCTAAAAAACTCGATGAAATCGCTCAGTTGTTATATACCACTACGAAGCCTGAGTCCTATGTGAAGGGTGAATTTACTTTAAGTCCATATGCTAGTTAAAGGCATACAAATAAAATCTTATGCGGATTCGTATTAATATCCAAATTTTATAACTGTTACATTTTACTACAGAGATATGTGTCCCAAATTTAATTTTAATGTGCCAAAAATTTGGACTTTTTAATTATCGTTTATTTCTTGAAATATCTACGTAGAGTAAAGCTGAGTGTAAACATACGTAAAAGAAGGTGATTCGATAAATCCACAACATATAGACTTTTTAGATACATCTAGTATTAGGATAACGTGTTCAGTAACAAATATACTAAAAAAGCTTTGATTATTATACCGAAGAGATATACTGAAAATTAATTTAAAAATCACACTTCAAAAGCATAAAACGGTTGGTCAATGACTAGTCCCTTTGGTAGTAAAATAAAGAGAAAATATGTATCAAAACAAGTTTATTTTTAAAAAGTTTCTGATTTACAATTTTTGTTAAGCTATTCATTATGAGGTAATCATAAATCTAAAACGAAAAGAAAAGAGATATAAAATTAATGAACATCTTTGACAACACTCTTACGTTTAACACAATGAGCATACATTATTATTAGCTTTAAAATATCACTATAAACTTACTAGGATACATTCAGTGGGATTAGAAATAAACCATTGGCGACATGACGTCTAGGCTCCCAATGACCGAACCGATGTTCCTGACCTAGACAAACAGCTAAATATCGACGATCAGAAGAGAAAGCCAGCCCATTGATAAAACCACCCTGGTGATTAAAACAAAAAAACCAGCCAAGAATAAAGTAAATCAATTCTGGAAACTAAATATATCCAATACACAGTAAAGAAGTGGATAACACTTAGATTTACATGTGTGTAGTAGAACAAAACGGATGTCGAGGCATTTTTGTTTATATTGTGCAATGTGAATAGCTGGATTTAAAAAGTAACCGACTACAATACAAATGTCGAAAACAGCAAAACACCACCAATAGTTAAGTTCCAATCGGTTATCAGGAATACGGTTGCATTAGCTCGATTTCCCACAACATATGGTCAGAAGAGGGAGATTAAATTATCGAGATAAATATAAGAGTAGTAGAAGTAATTACAGTATTAGTCGAAAACATTAGACATAGAATATGATTCGAAAAGAATGAATATGAAGAACAAAAGTCTTGCATATTCTTCAAACTCAAAATATAAGGGAAAATATAGAATGGACGTATTTGCGCCAATGCAACTGATTTTGAGCCAGCTCACACAAGGTTACTACTAACGATCGGTTATGATAGTCACGAGGACTTCAAACAGGTAGACGGGATCTATGCATATGGCTCAATCAAAAGTTAGTGACTTTATGGACTGATACCACGCCTTGTTTTAGCCGTCCCTAGTTTCCATCCTATTTCTGAATACGTAATTTGTGTTCCAACCACCCCAATCAATGACAGTTTAGAATCTCAGGTAAGCCTCATTAAATTAAAATTAAAACTACAAAAAAGTGCTAGAGCTATTGAATACGATGTAAAGCTTACCAATGAAATACCCAAACCAGGTATGCGTTCAATACTGATCTGTGTTCGTTGTTGTTGTTGTACTTTAACTTCATTTGAACGATCCAACTGTGGCTGAACAAGTCGCCAAAATTGTATGTGCCCTGTGGAGGAACCTGAAGCGATTAGATCAGTTCCGTATAGACCAGTAATGGCAGAAACCCAATTAGCAACTGGTCGGATAAAAGGCTCTGACATCGACGGTGGGCATAATTTTGCCACAGGGTGAGCAGGAGAAACAGTAAATACAGGACTACCTCTACTTGAATGCCAAATATAAATGGTACTAAAGTGAATAGAGAGGAGTGAATTGTAAATTGTATATGAATAAATAAACTGTAATGAAATACTCGACAGAATTGATAAAACTTACTTTGTAGAAGAACCCCCTATGAAAATTTCGTCATTGACTGCATAAATGCATTCTACTGAACTCCTGTAATTTAGTAAAACAAGAACATTCATAATGAAATATAGAGTAGAGATTAAGTTCAAGGGCAACAAACTACTAAAAAGTATACTGAAACTTACTCTAATGTGTTTTTTGTACTGTACTGAACACATATTTCTTCGGGAACTTTCCAGACACAAACACCGGGACCACCAAACCCGGAACATGAAACACATCGTTCAGATACCAGACCACATAATCCTAACACTTCGATATTTGTTCTTGCCCTGTATTTGAAGTAAAAATTAATTAACACTAACTGAAAAGTAAGTGGTCTGTTCACGCTATAATAAAAATTTAATGGACACGGGTTTTGGCGACAAAAAGCACTAAGATAAATATGATGACATCAGTAATAGATACGTTTTGACTAGAAACCCATTATTACCGGGAAAATTTAAAGAGAAACTACAAATTAGAAGCCCATGTTGAGAATAAACCGGGTTAAACGTCAAGACATAAAAACCAGCTCGGTAGTCTTAATATTTATTTATCTTAAAACATAAACATTGGCGCAAAGGGGCATCAAAATATGTCACTGAACTTGTGTGTGGACTGGGATACCCTCTGGGTGCCCATACCAAAGCGGTGGTTCCCATATGGAGACACTTTCTGACTTTTAACCCAGAAGTCTAATCCATAAGACAGTGGAGCGGCATTATGAAATGCGGTCCCATGGTAGCGAGTGATCAACAATAGGTTCGAACACAATTTATTTCCTCGGGACCCTGGTCATTAGGCGCGCCATTGGTTTGTTTATTCATTTATTTGAACACAAACATTGGTGAAAGGGGGCACCAAATACATATGCGCCACACAAAAACAATGAGGTCAGTAGCAGTTATCATTGATTTATGTGAGGACAGTGATACTCTCTGGGTGCCCAAACAGAAGCAGATAGTTTTCGTCTTCTTAAGGGGCCACACCCCCTAGCTTTTGACCTGAAGGTCTAATTCACGAGTCAGTGGAGCAACTTTAAAAGATGCAGTCCCATGGTGGCCGATGTATTTATTTATTTGAACACGTAAATATTGGTACAAGAGAGCGCGAATATATATGCGCCACACAAAACAATGAGAATTCGAAGAGAAATAGAAAAAAAAGAGAACAATAACGAAGAGATTGGTGTAAGGCCGATGACCAGCAAGAGGTTCATACGCCTTTTGTTCTCTCAGGATTCTGGGACCCACGTGCTTCATTAGTTTGGAATCAGTGGTCTTCAATTCCCCTAGGTTGATCCTCCATATCCACCAACTAGGTTACAGCACTGAACATTCGCTTCCCATCCTCTGATCCCCGCCACGATAATGCAGTGAGTAGGACTTCCCTGGTAGTGGCTATATACGTGTATCATGAGAGCATTTCGAGAAGGCGGGATCTCACCTTCGAGAGCACCAGGGCGACTGAGCTCTACTAGCGTAAATATAGCTTGTACAAATGTTACCTGCTACCTAATACCACTACCTTTCAGATCAATAAGTATTAATATACATTGTGAGGCTGTTAGACGTTTGGATATGACCTACGTAGAACCCTGGACATAGGTTTCGTCCAAGCTGATGCTCGTCAACACGGTGCACATGTAAAATGAAACAGACTGTGACAAAGTAGGTAACAAGATTATATATTTGAAAAATAATTAAGACCTACCCTTGGTCTTGTAATACCTCTTTCAAAGGCATATTCCAAACACAAACACGACCAGAACAATCTGCTGTAAACAACATGTGTGAATGGTATCTAAAACTAACAGCCTGAATGATGAAATTATGATGAGGAAACTGATGATACTCACTGTGACTGGTACCTTATGGTGCAGTAGTTTCATGAAAACTTTCATTTCATTTGGGTCCCATATTATAACGGAATGGTCCATACTAGAGGAAGCCTAAAGGATATGGTAGATGGGCATAATTTGATGCATAAAATTGTATAATATCATAATTTATTCTAAAACAATTAACGTAAAATGATAGTGGATTTGTTAGATGTGTAGATATACCAAGAAATGAATCGCATCCAAGTAAGGAACCATTTTAAGAGTAACCTTGAATGTAGACTTATGAAAGAATAGATCAAAATTGATACGGTTTCGCTCCAAACCCCATCTATCAGTAACATGTCTTATACTTACTCATATTATATCTAAGTGCTCGCTGCTTAACCAAGTCTTCATGGTCCTTAAACTGAATTCTCCCGATAGGTAACATGATTGACCATTCTGGCGTATACAAGATATAATATAGACCTAACTGTAACCACGAATGTAGGTGGAAAATTAACTATTGGTATGGTTAGGATACTGTTTATACTGCTACAGATCAAACAAGTTGTGCGCTTCAACACTATTGAAGCCATCTAACAATGTTGAATATTAGAGCAGTTAAGTAGAGATAAGCCAACTGTTGAGCTTCATCATAAATTTGATGGTTTGAGTATGTCATAAATCTTCAGCCGTCACTATCTATCCGTGCCTTCCGTACAAAAGAAATTAATATTTTTTTCTGGTTAGCGTTTTTTAGCGAGTTAGTCTTCTACAGGATAGGGTCGTTAACCCTATGCCCAACCCTCCCTCTTTATCCGAACTTAGGACCGACAGTAGCCCCAAGGGGGCTCCAGGCAGATTTGCACAAAAGAAATAGCGAAGTGCAATTAGATCAAAGCAAACACTAAACTAGGACACGGTAGATTATATTTCGTATTTGAAGTTTTATGGTTGAGATTCATGGTTTTTCCCGTAATTTTCTGACTTTCTTGTTGTAACTATTTTTATCCCACTTATTTTTGTGGGCTTAGATGAAAAGATGTAAGGTGATAAACACCTGCGAAACATAGTATGCTACATTCTCGTCTGCCCCTAATTATCATTCACTGAATAAAAGGATAAGTGGCTCAGTTTCACTGGATCTTTTAAATATTTTCTGATAGTTTGAATTGTCTCCGTACACCATACCTCACTAGATATTGACAGTCAAGATTACTTAAAAACGGACTGGAAATTCCTGGTTGTACGTTAAGCTTTTTGGGAATATTAAAACAGAAAACATGGCAGACCTGCAGACGGATTGTTTAAAACTAAACGTTTATTGTTAATCACCGTTATAATGTAAAAATAGTTTATTAAGTTGTACGCGGTTCATAGCATGTTTTTAGAGAGTGAAGCCATGTGACTGGGTTACTATCGTCTCGAACGACAAGATAGCTGGCTATATGAGCATACAGTATCCATAGGAAGTGCAATTTAATCCTGAAGAACAAATACATTATTTGTAATAAAAGTGACCATGGATGCACGTCCTCTCGCTAACGAGCGCTATTTGGACGAAAATTAACAGACTAAAACGATTTCTATATTACCAATTTAAATATAAACAACTTCAACTTACTAAATATTTACTGTCACTGGATATGGAAATAGACAGAATCGGGCCAGTATGATAGGGATATTTTGTTCCACGTTTCCCTCCAGGTATAGAACACAGTTTTACCATAGTGCTTAGATCCCCTAGAGGTACTTGGGATGTCAACAAACAACTTACACTTAATTACTGAAGAATCCTTCCCTCCAGTGTAGGCATATTTACCATCTTCAGAAATACATACACAAGAGACAGATTTTCTATGACCTCTAAGAACCATAATTTCCTCCTTATTCAAGAATTTGATCTGAATGATAGGACTTATTTAGGTTTACACTAACCTGATGTGCGAACTTTGCTAAAAACTTTCCTTTAGCCTGCAGTGCCTCCTCTTTGAGACGTAAAGAAAGAGCTTCGTACTTCTCGTCATCCGAACCAACTGGGGAAATAAAAAACGTGCAAAATTACCTGTTTCGAGTGCTTTCTGAATAGCTTTCTTTGTGAGTCGTACTTTTTTCTCATGAGCACTTTCATGTACTGAGATATCAGACTCTGTTTCAGATCCAACGCTGAAATCAGTTAGTGAGCTGTGGAAACAACGCTTACGAACTCGCTTCACTATCAGATTCTATTTCTTCATCACTTTTCTGCTTCTTACTATGTTTCTAGTCCTATATTTAACACAAAACAAAACCCTACTTTAACCCGCAACCTCGTCGGGCGACGATCCAGCGGCATCGTTCCTTGACGGAGGTTGTTGTACGCTTGAAGGTCAAGCTGTCGTAAAACGATGTGTGCGCCACATCTACAATTTGTAAATTTTTCCAGAAGCGGTCAAATTTGATTTGAGTTCAGCTTCCATCCCTCGAGTAACGAAGGTGATCTCGTCATAATGACGCATGATATCGGACAAATCTTCACCGATATTATGCTTTTGCGACGATCTACTAGTTGAATTAACTTTGGGACGCGCGCTGTCTAAAAGGAACGGCAGTGTTTTTCCACGCTGAGTTAAGTTTGTGAGTTTGATCGTTTATTATACATCAAGACTACTGTTTTCGCTTTAATTGAATTTATTTCAGACAAAGTAACACAAAGAGTACTGTTTTTCGAAACTAATTTATCATATGTACTTCAATTCAGTTTCACTTTCAGATTCAGATTTGTGTAGTAAGGACAGAAGGCCTACGGCCTATGTTATTCCTTATCTAGTATGCTTCTGTGAGTGTCCAGTCTTCTCTTGAAAGAGTCAATTGAAGGTGCGGACACCACTGCTTCAGGCAGCAGGTTCCAAGTATTGATGACGCGGTGTGAAAACCTGTATGCCACGGGTATTTTGTTCGTTCTTGGCTTTTCTACTCGCCTGCTATGTCCTCTGAGATGTCCCAATCTGGTGGGAAGAAAGAGAGAGAGTAAGTTAGGTCCGAAATCATTTCTCAGTATTCTGTACATCATAATTAGATCTCCCCTTAGTCTGCGATAGGACAGAGTAAAGAGGTTCAGTTTTTCAAGCCGCTCTTTATATGATAAACCCCGGAGTTCCGGACTTGCACGGGTAGCTGCCCTCTGTACTTTTTCTAGTATGTCTGAGTCACCTTTTAAACAGGGGCTTGCAGCCTGAACACAGTTCTCTAACTTAGTTCTCACTAAGGATATGCTGTGGTGAACATGGTAGTATCAAACTTAGTGAATGTCCTTTTTAAAGCCCAGAGGGTTCGAAACCCCTTAACTGCGACCTCCCGGCAATGGGCCGTCGTCTTAAGATCATTGCTCACTGTCACCCCTAGGTCCTTATGAGACCGGACTACGGGTAATGACACACCCCCTATGGTGTATGTATTAACCTTTGAATCCCCCAAGTGCATGTAGACACACCTTTCCGCGTTGATAGGCATCAGCCACTCTTTAGACCAGTTTATCATATTATTTAAGTCTGCCTGAAGAGTAAATGCGTCTTTGTCTCCAGTTATTACTCGCCAACTTTTTACATCGTCAGCGTATAATAACATTGGAGACTGTACTATACTTGTAAGATCATTAACGTACATTATAAAAAGTAAAGGACCTAGGACGGAACCTTGGGGTACTCCACTAAGTACTGGTCTCCAGATGGAGCACTTGGAATTTATTCTTACTTTTTGTCTACGACCTACTAGGAAATCTTTAATCCATTTTAAAAGAGGTCCGGAAATACCAAGGCTTTCCAATTTCAATAGCAGTCTATTAGTTAGCACCTTGTCAAAAGCCTTACTGAAATCTATGTAGACAACATCCACTGAGTTTCCGTTGTCTAGTACATTAATCCAGAACTTTCTTGCTATAAGGAGGTTCGTTGTACGGGACAGACCCTTTCTAAGTCCATGTTGTGCCATGTTCAGCAAGTTATTGGTTTCCATAAATGCCGTTTTGGTCCGTTTGATTATTCTTTCCAGCATTTTAATTACAACACTGGTGAGACTTACGGGTCTGTAATTTGATGGAACTTGTTGTGGACCTGTTTTATGTATGGGAGTGACGATTGCGTCCTTCCAGTCCATAGGTAGCACACCTTGGTCAAGTGACATATTGAATATCACAGCCAGTGGGGCCGCGATATATTGGGCAATATGTCTCAAGATTTTGGGGTGTAGTTCATCTGGTTCTGTTGACTTCTCCATGTTTAGGGTGCTAAGAGACTTAAGCACATCGTTTTGGTCGAAGTCCACGGTGAGCAGCTGGTTTGTTGACTCTGTAATTGGGTCTGGTTCTTTCTCTAGAGGAGGTTCCTGAGTGAAAACTGCCCCAAAATATTCAGCCATAGCCTCTGCTTTTTCCTGATCTTCCTCTATCATTTCAGATTCACTTCCTACTTTAATTAAGTTGGGAATCCAATGATGCATCCTTGTTCTGTAGTTTATGTACGAAAATATTCTCTTGGGCTGCTTGAGTGCAGATTGTGTTACCCGATTGTATAACTCCCTGAATAGAGTCCATGCCTCTTTTACTGATGCCTTTAAGTCAATTTTCCAGTTTTCAGCCGATGCTGCGGAGTTAATTGCCTGCATATCTGCCTTCCATATGTTGGGACGGGCCGGTGTTACTGTTTGACAAGCAATCTCAGCCATGAATTTGAATAAGATGACTGCAGTTTCTTAAGTCGTATCTTGTGGGATCTCTAATGTGTTGGAATAATGCTAATCCAATCGAGGTATCTAACAGTTTGCAGTTGAACGACGATATGGATGACCTTACTTCTAAATTAACCCAGTTTATATGTGGTGCATTAAAGTCGCCTACTACAAGACTTTTACCGTTGTTACACCAAGACTTAAGTTTACTAAGGAGAAAATCATCTGCTACACATTCTGGACTGCGATAAACTTCCACTACTTCAATATCTTGCCTTCGGCATTTCAACTTACATCTCACCAGTTCACATGTCCCTGAAACATGTGCTACTGTCTCAGCTAATCTTATGGTTAGGGTACTTTTCGTGTACACAATAACCCCGCCTCCCCTTCGGTTTGATCTATCAGCCCTACTGGTTATGAAACCAGTCAATTGGATTTCACTATCTAATACTTCTGACGTTAACCAAGTTCCCGAGACAGCAATAACGTCCGGTTTTTCTTTATCCACTACTGACTTCAGCTCCGCCATTTTATTTAGTAGGCTGCGAGAATTTGTGTAGCACACTTTTAAGTCTGTGGAGAGCTTTTCCTTGCCACCCAGAGTGGCTTGGGGATCGTTTTGCTCCGAACTTTTACAATCTGAAAACCATTAAGAACGAGGTTTCTTTCACTGTTTCGGCGACACTCGTTTATTTCCGCTTCTGCAGCTCTTCTCTTAATACGATCAGCTAGGCTGAGATCCTCACGGACATATATTTTGGATCCAATCAGTTTACGTGAATTACTTAGAATCAGGTTCCTTTCTTCCACCGTGTTGAATGTAACCTTTAGGAGGCGGTTTTTCTGAGGACTTTCGGAATCCACCTTTTTTCCTATTCTATAAAGCTTACAAATACTAACTCCTGAAACTGTATCTGGGAGTAGTTTACTTAATGATGTCTTAATATGATTGAGATCATGTTCAAATCTTGCCTTTGGTTCAGTATCTGAAGATTCTCTTATCTTATGAAAAATAACTGATCTATCAGAGAGATCTGTCTTGTCACGCGGTGAGGATTTTTCTTCTGATAACATCCCTTCCAATGTCTTGCTGACCAGCTGCGTTTTGCCTACAGCCTTTTGCTTCCTATTTTTTTTTCTTCTTACCGAAGTCCATTTGTCACCACTCAGAACAGCCACACCTGGACTATGTGGAACGGTGACAGTTTTATCCGGATCTTCTATTTCGACTAGAGGTGTATGACTGCCGATGTCAATATCAAGCGACACTTCATTCCTCGTTAATATCAACGGAGATTTCACGTTCCCGTCAACCGCAGTCAGGTGTTTAATGGGTCCAGTAACAGCACTTACTACACTGACACATTCTTCATCGTCAGTGCTCCTGTTATCAGTGCTTCCGCCATTGTTTTTCTTGCAGGCCAAAGCCAATAGGCCCATAGCCTCCTGTATTAGTACCTTTTTATCCGTACAGCAGAACATACAAAGCCAATGCGAGTTAGGCTTCGAGCATCTTTTGTAAGCCGTCGGACTTGGGCGTGTACACATTTTGTGTTACCACTTTTTACAATCGTCACATTGCATTCCCTCCTCCACGGGGAACAAACAATTTGGTTGCCCACATTGGTGAGTCTTACCAACCATTGAAATTCGATTAAAAAGGTTTAAAAAACACAAAATGATCACAATGTGAACACAAGTGCTAGTCAGGAGTAAAAATGATACTCAGGACAAAATTTAGCAAAGAATTTCAAACTTTAACCAAAGTACTTTAAGTTAAAGTAGACCAAGAATGCTTTTTGGTGAAATAAGTACCCAAAGCAAGTATAATCACAACAAGTACAAAAATCACTTTGGAAAGGATAGGAGGCTATTTGGTCTGTGTTAGTCCTGGCAATGGTGGTACCTCGGTTGACCCAGCGTTTTTTGGAAGCGTTGACAGATCGATCCTCGTTCATGTGTTGAAAAATGACAGTAAGCTGACAAGTAATTTGTTCTGACCTTGTGAACACTTTCAGAGTGTCTTCATAAATTTTTTGTTTTGGAGGACAAGAAAAGTGAGGGCATATCAGATGCGAATTTATCGCTAAGTAATTTAAAAATTGATAGTCACATCTGATTCTTCTATATAACAATGGAAATAGGCTTAGACAGTAAAGCATCATACGAGAGCTTTTCTACTCCGGGAATCAGCTTAGTTGCAGTTCTTTGAACCTTTTCCAACAGCTCACTGTCTTTTTAGGCAGGGACTGGCCACTTGTATGCAGTACTGGAGTTTAGGATGCAGGAATACTGTATACAAAGTCAAGATGGTTTTAGTATCGACATGGCTAAAAGCCCTAAGTAATAACCATAGGGTTCTAAAACCTTTTGTGGCAACTGCACGGCAGTGTGAGGTAGTTTTTAAGTCTTGGCTAGCGATAACTTCTAATTCATTGAGTCTCTGGACAACAGGTGGCTCAATATTATTCATCACATACTTATCCGAACCTTGATGGCTAATGTGCATGACAATGCATTTGGAAGCACATGAAATGGCCTTCTGATAGTTTACTAGTAATCAGTCCTGGGTTACAGATAGACTAAAACATATGTATAAATAGTTCACGACGAATTTTGTCAATTCCT